AATGCTATGCCCTACAGCTGCTGGACCTTTCAACCTGGAGTGTGAAATTTCAATCTCTGGTTCTGAACCCAAAACTCTCAATCACTAATCACATAACTTCAAACCTTGAGGCGATATTCTGATCTCTGGCCGTCTTGCTTCCTGAGCCAGGCAAACTTTCTTAAATTAATGGGGCTTTCGTGGGCTTCCACCCGGTTCAGGCTTGCGGACCAAGCCGTTCGGATGCAGGTTTGAGTTTCAGAAAACACGGACCCTGATGTGAAACCTGTGTTTAGCATCCTGATTATAAGGACAGCCCGGCTACGCACGAATGTAAGAACGCCCATGTCTTGACACGGCTTTTCAGCAAGGGATAAGGAATGCTTCGCAATATTGCGTTTGTTTCGCTGGCTTTAGGGTTTATAGTACAGCATCGACCACTGCAGCCAAAAGCCTGAACAAACCCGATGTCCGACGTCCGGTTTGGGTTCAAGGCTTCCGCAATGAACTCCTCCAAGCCTTAGCGGACTTGTTCAGGCCGCTACATCAGGTTCCTACAGGATCCCAAGTGCCTGCGTCATTGTAGCAGTGTTACTATGGTTTGATTAAGCGGACCCCGGTAACCGCTCACCCCAAAGCCTAGGGCCAGACATGATTCCCAATGCAGGATCACTCCGGCAGGGCTTTGCCTGCAAGAGAGCAGCGTCCATCTTTAAATGAGACCTGCTTTCGCTCCCTCTCTCAATGCACCTTTACAGGTTTCGACTTCGGTCTGCGGCTTTCCACCAGAGTTTAGGGTTCGACGCTTGTTTGGTGTCAGGGCCCGGTGACGGGCAGCATTCAATCTGCAAGACTCGAGTGTAGACTGCGTTTAATTTGGTCTGATGTATCGGAGCCACAGGTGTGTCCGCCTTTGTGCGGCGCATGACATGGTTTCACAGTGCCCAAAGAAGGCTTCTCACCCCTTTCAGCGCTGTGCCGAAGTTTGGTCCATGGCGCGGGGAATGGCCATCTCCGATACGACACGGAGAAGGTGGGGCTTCTTAGGGCAGAAGGGATTTAAGAGTTTGGGTAAAGCTGCAACAGCATAAGTGCCTCAATGGACGCTCAAGACGCTCTAGATTAGTGTTGGGGCCGCAGGGCATCGAGCAAGTAGGTTGTACACACCGTGGTGTTGGAATACACATTAGTCTAACCTATACAACGTATGTCCCAGTTCCCTTTGGGCCACCTAGAATTCTACTAAGAAAGCCCTGGAGCCCTTTGCCGCTAAAGGTATGCTTATCCCCTTGGAGTTTCCGAAGGAATGAAGCGCTTAAGTGCGAACATGAGGAACACAAGGCAACCAGACTGGAGGTCCCAATAAGAAGCTTTGCTGAGTTCCTGCTTCGAGGCCAGGTTGGTAGTGGCATTTTGGTGAGCACGCAGCAGTTCAGGGCCGACTTTTGTTGCATGTCGTTACCTCGAGTTCGCACCCAGTGCGCTGGTGTCATCTCACTGGGAACCTGGTTTCACACGCGTTTTTCCATTCTGATGAGTTTCGAGCGGAGCCCTTTCGAAGAGATAAATTGCTGAAACGGGTACTTAGGACCTAGGATGCCGGAACTTTGGTTGTCGAGATCTGTTTAAGCCAGAGGCAGACCTGCCGCACCAGAGGCATTTTCAGCTCAGTCACCCGGGTCTTAGTCGCTAGGATAGATTGGAACTGCAAAGGCAGAGCCCTGACTTGCATTGCTGCCACTGGACTAGCCATTGGCTCAAGCTCCTGCAGCCTTTCAAGGCTCAGCAAAGTGAGACCATTGCTGTCATGGCATGATGTCAGCTTTCAACATTGGATCTAAATCAGCACTTCGTTGGGGTTGTCTCCAAATGCCAAAGCAGATCTTCTAGAGCCGATTTTAGTTACTAGTTGTCGTGCCGACTGGCCTGCTGCGTTAGGCCGCACTTACCCGTCTTGTTTTGCAGGATCAGGTTCCGTGGTACAGGCAGCGAGTGATGTTGCATCGTCCACATCTGACGTCGCAGCGAGTAATCTTACTCGTTGTGTCATTTCGACATGCTCCCTCCGTTGCAACATCCATGCTTCAATGCCCAAGCCGCGACGCAAAATGGCCATCAGAAGTCAATGCTAAATGAAATGCCACCTCTGTCAGGTATACACATCCAAGATGGTGTACAAGGCACACATCCGTAGACGGCATGAAGGTTTTGCCGTTTTGCCACTCGAAAGGTTGCCTACATCAGGTGGTTTGTAATGCCTCGAAACGTTTCTGAGTTGTGTGTCAAGAACTGCCCCATCCTCACGTTGCATCGACCACTCCAAAAAAAGTTACTTCGACGTGATGCTCGCAGGTGTCGCAAATACTGGGACCATCAGCAGGCCGCACCGCTAAGCGTGCTTGGCTTTCGCACTTTGGTCGTTTCGAATGCCGATCGCTGTAGGCTCTCCATTGTTGCTAAGGCTTGCCGTAACCAAACTCGGCATATTCGGGCTCTGCGTCGTCTGAATGTCTTCTTGCGCGCTTCTTCACTGTACACGCACTCTCTGAGCGTGTATCCGGGGTCAGCTCTCTGGCAGATTCTTTGTATTTGGCTCGAGGGCTCGACGAGCTGACCGTCGGAAGACGACAGCCGTGGGAGCGATTTATGATTTACTGAGCAAGGCTGCTGTGTCCCATCTTGCGAGCGACGCGAGCACAGCTCGCAGTGCACCAAATCAGACTTCCAGGAGATTGCCGGTCGGTGGAACCTCAAATCCCCAGTTGTGCTGACGACGAGCCCAGAAGTGCTTTCGACCCTTCGACTGCCCTCAGGCCGCAGAACGTCTCCCGCGTCAAGATCTCGAGGACTCGCAGTGGGATTTGGGATATGTGGATTGGTTGCGCATCTCAAAGTCACAGAGGGCATGGGGGCACTTCTAGGCCCCAAGCCCGAAGGATCCCTAAAGCATGCCGACAGCTGTGGAAGCCGTGGATGGTGGCGGAGTCTGCTAGACGGGATGTGCAGCATCTCAGTCCTTGCTGCAGGGATTCCTGATGCTTTCACCTACCTCCCGTGTGCCATAACTGTCAAATTCTGTTGATTCTCTTCGTGACTTAGTGTCCTGCACGTCTTGTCAGCACCACATTTCTTTGACGTTTGAATGTTGCCGTGTGGTGACCGTTATGATGACGACGCCGATCATGATGGCTGGGGTGCCTGACTCGCTGGCTGGCTGGATGGATAAATCAACGCATGAAGCAATGAATGAGGAAGGCAGTAAGGACGGAAGGACGGAAGGATGGAAGGAAGGAACGAAGGAAGGAATGAATATACGAGTGAGCGAAGGAACGAACATACGAATGACTGACTGGCTGAATGGAAAGACGAATGAAAGGGCAAAAGGCAGGCGAAAGTGACACGGCATGGCAGGCAGCGAAAAGGAGTGAAGTGAAGCCTGGACCTTAGGAGCTGGTTCCCCAAACTTGCTGGCCACGCTGACTACCCCCATCAAGGTGAAGGTGTCGCACCGAGGTTGTTGCGCGGCACTGGCATTGAACAGTACCCAGCCCTGATATTTTACAGATTGGCACATACCACTCTAGTGTCAGACCCGAGTATGAGTAGTGACTCAGCAGTGCAGGATGTTCATGCGCTCAATCCTGCTAGCACCCGGCTCCGCTTGATTAGATAGATTCCAGAATATGCGGCAGCCGGTCAAGGATATGCGATACTTCCGGACACCGAGGCATCGACAGAGAACTGCCTTTCTGTCCTTGCAGTCCAGGCGCACTCTCACCCGTGCTTTTGAGATGGAACACTGACCGGGTTGCTGCGAGGAGAAAGCATTCTAAACTCCTCTTGATTTGTGAATTCAGGTTGGTGTCAGCTGCGACAGAACTGCCGATAAGGGTAGACACAGATCCGTAATTCTTGAAAGTAGCACTGCGCTGGCAGTTTCAGAAGGGTTAGCATTTTGCCTAGGCTACATGGGCGATGCGGCTGTCAAGACTCCTCTCTCAGCACCCTTGCTCGCTCATCGCGACGATCGGCAAATTGTCAGGATGCAGTGGAGACGAGGGTCCGCCGGTCGGGTGAGGAGAAGGCAGAAGTCCTGGAACCCTCCGGAATCCATGTTTTGCTCGCCTCCGTGCAGATGGCCTCTGCCTGGGGCCTGGAGTTCGAGGCAGAAGCCCTGGCGGCTCAGGGCGAGACGAGATTCCTGCAGGTGCCTTGCCCTCATGCCATCCATTCCTTCCGGGCTTTCCACTTTGTGTCTCCGTGTCCACCAGGCTGTGTAGGTGTTGACGGGTGTCCTCGACCAGGCAGAAATCCACCGGCTTCTCGCTGAGCGCGCATCGGTGGCTTGTCCCGAAGCGAATGAGATCCGGAAGTCATACCTTGCAGCCTTGCCTGCAGACCATGGAGTCCGGTCAATTGAGTTTTCTGCGAGCATGACTGCTGGGTTCAGTGGTCATATGAGGAGCAAGTTGCCACGGGCCACGATCTCAGCCATCGATCATCGGCGCAGCTGTTGGGACCGGTGGTTCCGAGGCCGCAGCGTGGCCGAACTAGAGGCCACGATTGCATGGTTGCAGGCCCGCGAAGCCACTGCGCATCTAATCGCACGGCTTTGAACTCAACTTCTCCTGCTCTGGTTCAAGAGTTCCGCTCAAACGAGTGGCGTCGTATTGTCGAAACCAGACTGAAATGGGATGAGATTGTATATTCGATTGTATATGCGTATGTGCGCCATGTATCAGTCTATGTATGTATGTACGGATGGATGGATGGATGCATGCATGCATGTATGCGTGTTGTTCTACCTAGGCAGATACCCAGCATACCAGAAGCCAACACACCAACATAAAGACAGGGCTAAATTTACATGATCTGAGACCTTTACTTTGGGCTCGTTTGCACGACCAATCTCAGCTTTTGTGGCCGTGCAGGGCATTCCCGAGGCCACAGCAGAGATAGTCACCTGCTTAGGAACTTTGGACAAGTCCTCCTCACTTGCTGTGACAGCGACTGTTCCGGCCATGGCTCGTCCATGGCAGCAGCGCGCGAGATGTCGGAGAAGCTTCGCAGGCGCGCAAACTAAACGTGGGTGGCAAACTTTCTTTGAGGAGACTTCGAAGGGGTAGCCTCTCGAAGCATAGGGCTGAGACGTCTGTGTTGGAGGCTTGCTGTTGGTGCCGGCTGCCGTGCCGGTCTCAGATAGGACAGTGCACAGAACGCTCCCGTTCCATGACTCAATCGAGCTCATCGCAGGTGCTTGGGCATGCCTGTGCTTTTGCTTCGGCACGCTTCTGGAGTGGAAGGATTCGGCTTCTGCCACATGTAGTTCTTCGTTATGTTCTCCACATTGGCAGCGTCAAGCTTCTTCATGCTTGGCGGCGACACCTCGCACATCAGTCGGGATGATTTTTCACGCACACAAACGCTGTCAAGCATAATTGGCTTTGAGCTTCTATCTTTCGTCAACCCCAACGAAGGCATTTGCAGCCAGCGAAACTCAGCCACATAACGGATGCTATGCACGGACCATGCTAACGGCTGACGGCTACCGACCGGAGCAAACAATCAGAAGCTTCGGCCGGGCTCGTCCAATGTTCCGGCAAGCATTGGTTTTTCGCAAAGTGGTCAGGTTGGACAAATTCGTTGCAAGGCCTCATTGGCCAACACCCATGATCGGGACGTGCTATTGCCGGGCAGGACTCATCGAGAATCTTCATCGGCTACATAGTCACACCTGGAGTTTTGTTCCCGAAAAGCTTGTGCTCGGAGTAGTCGTCATGCGTGCCATGTGTGTCTCATGCCCGACTGTCGCTCAACAGCATGCATGCCTCGCTTTTGGGCGTCCTGGCAGAACTTCCACACGTATGGAAGGTTCGGACATCCTGTCCTTTTTGTTGTCATCCCTCTGGCTCAGAAAGCACGCGCAACATTCTGGTGAGGACGGCATTGAGGAAGCGCACGGCTGCGAAGGTCGGCAGTCGGATTATCACATGATCTTGGCTGGTGAGGTGCGCTGGGAGAGTGCCTGCAGGCCTTCGCTTCCTTCGACAGCCCAATCCGCCGACTCGCGACCGGGCTTGCACAAAGTTCTGAGGCGTTGTTGTCTCTTGCGTGAAGCTGCTTTGATCTCTGTTGTGATGTCTCCTAATTCTCCTAGCAAAGTATATACATCTCAGGAGTTCAACGACTCCATTCTGGTGGGGGCTGGCTATGACCTGGTAGATGTCAGGCGGATGTCCGTCAGCCGACATCGCTTCCTGAAGCCGTCACGGAATCAGGAAACAGTGAGCCCATACGAACAGGGTCGTGGCAGAAGCAAGGCACAGGGTAGGGCTGCAAGCTGGCACGCAGGGTATTGACGACGGACAAGGAGCCGGTAGAGGCGCACAGAAAGGGAATCGCAAACAGCCAGCGGCGGATTCGCCAGACCAGAGGCCACATTCATGCTGGACAGCGGCCTCACCACGAACCTCGTGTCCGGCGCACAGAAATCGGGTTCGTGGGAGCATGAACGATGCCTCGTCTTCCTTGTCAAGGTCTCCGACCTTCTTGGAGCGTTTGGGGTTGGAGACACGGGAGGAAGCCCTCTCCGCAACTGCGAGCCTTGGACAAAAAACACGATGCTCTTGTTGGATGCTTGGCGAACTCTTCGCAAATCCAGATTTGATCCGAGGCTTGGAGGCTCCATGCAGAAGCTCAGGTTCGCCGAGAAGCGCAGCCCGCTGCAGCGGTGCTCTGGCTCTGGATCTTCGCTTCTTTTCTCGCCAGGTCGACAGATCTGCCGGGGCTGGAGCTCCTCGGTTCCGAAACGGGCGAGACCTATGCAGGCCAGGCTCATGTGGGATGAGGTGAGGTGAGGTGCAAGCTTCGCCTACAGGCTTATGGCAAGGCGGTGGCTGGCGCGCCTGGTGCACCCTCGACTGGGATGCCTGGAAGGCTCCGAATTGAATAGCACTTCATGTCATCCGGCTCACAGGACGACTGTGACCACAGTGTGTTAACTCGCTTCGCAGGGGTCTTCGACAAATGCTTGAGGCAAGCAGCAGTTAGTTCCACTTTGGGGGTTGCCGGTTGCGAGCCGAAAGCGCTGACAGCGGCTTTGGGCCCACGTGCACAGGTACAACAAAGCACAGGCTCACGCTTACAAGAAGAGCTTGATTGACTGCATGCGTCGCAAGGCCGCGGCAGCAAATGCCAAGGATGTCAAGGGCGAGGCGAAGAGATGTGAACCCGCACTGGGCCACACTGTCTGACATCATGCAGCGCCCCGCAGCGCGGTAGGTGATGTACGAAGTGCTGCCTTCTGAGAAGATGACGGAGTCGCAACTACAGATGGTCGGCTGGCGAGGTACCGGCCCTGGAAGCCGGAGTATTGCCACGGGCTTCTGAAGGAGTCATGAGAGTTTACCCAAGGCTGTGCTCACATCACTTTCGGATCGCTGACATGGCGCAAACTCTCATCCCATGCCCGGCAGAAATTCCCATTCTTGTTCCTTTTGCTATCAATTCCCTTTTGTTCGTTTTGCGGTCCGAGGTCAAATTTACGGTGTAGGGTTTGCCCTTCCCTCAAAGAGGGCGAGATGGCTGGCTGCCTGGCTGGGTGGGTGGGTGGCTGGATGGATGGATGCATGGATGGACGGACGCATGGATGGATGGATGGATGGATGGACGAATGCATGAAGGCAGTAAGTGTAAGAGTGAACAAGAGTGGGTTTACATGTGCTAGTTGTGAGCTGCGGTCAGACTGTGGTGTCAAGCCATCAGCTTCATCAGAGCATATCAGATCATGAGGGGTTTGGTGCTGAAGTCGTGCCGAAGGCACAGAAACCGTCCAGGGCACGCTGGATGCCGTAGTCCCAGAGTGTCAGATGAGCTGCGTTCTGTACGAGGCAGCGCGCTAACGGTGTCTGACCCAAGAGCTGTCCTCACGTGGTCCACTGTAGCCAGACATTTGTTCCGTGCTTATAATACTCAGGCCGGACTCTGTTCATTGCGCGAACTGCACTGACAATGCGGCCAAGGCTGACAGCTTCAGTGGACGTGGCATCTCCGTTGAACCCAAAGGCTCGCAGAGTGTCCGCCCGGAGCACCCAGAGAGGCGATTCGTTTCATTCTTTCCTGAGGTGTGCTGTCGACTACTGAGAGATACGACTTCCAAGAGCAGGGCGACGAGATCGTCGATTCCGTGAGCGGAATGAGGAGACGACCGCGGGAAGTGACGAGAAGGGACCCGTTTGCGTCTCGCCTTTAGCCAGGTTGAGACGCCAAGCTGCGCGGCCCTCTCTGCCGTTGCGGCTTGGGCTGAAGGGGATGTCGCAGGACTTTCAGGTCTGGTGAGCTCCAGTTTTTGTGTGGCTTGCATCCGAGGCCCGGGCCACTTCATGCAACCTGCGTGGAGTTTGCACAGGAGACGCATTCGCAACATGAGTGCAGCTGCGATCGGGGCTTCAATGCTCGTCGTAGTCATCCTAATGTGTTAATCTCACGGCTGACTGTTTTTTGGAAGAAACCGGGGGACAGGGCTGTTCATGCTTTGCAGAAGCAGGTAGGCCGTGAAGGAACTGCACGGCCATAGAATGTCCACAGACGTTTAATCATTAATCCGGCTTTCTTCAACACCTTGGTCCCTCAAGCGCTTGGGCTGGAGCACGGAACACAAGCCGCTGACCATGCCAATCCGGGAAGGAGGGGATCAGGGCTGTAATTACAATGCTTTCCAAGTGGTCCACTTGCCTGCTCCAGTGAGCGGCACAGCACATCATGCTGATGAGGAAAACATGGATCCCTCAAAGAAGAGTCTCAGTGGAGTAATCATCGCGCTTGTGCAGGCCGAGATCGCGCGCCAGCAGGCACTCTGAAAGAATTCTTTCATTGAAAGCCGATTTAGGTCGATTGAGCTTCCAGCTTAGACATGTCCTTGAATGATCTTATCGGATGCACAGTCCGAAAGCTAGACTACTGCCTGCTGTCAGGGTATCGAACTTCATGGAATGTTGGGTCAGCTTCCGCTGCATCAGGCCGGGGATTATGAGGGGCGGTTGTCGGCGGCTTTGGTGTGATTTACCACGCATCCAACGCGGGGAGCGAGACGCCTCAAACGCCTAAAAGGAGATGATCAGTGTGAAAGCCGGAAACCATGTTTTGCCGTCAAGTTATGTGGTTTGCATTGTGCCTGTCAGTGTCGAAGGATTTCTTGCTCGACGTGGACCCTGAGGCGCGGAGAATGGAGACAACGTCTTTGCAGTCATCTTGTCTGTCGGAGATTTCCAGAGCGGTTGTGCACGGTATTGCCGGGATGCTAAACTTGACAAGCTGGTCGGCATCGGTTCTGTGCAGCCACGGAGGCGCGACGCGTTTCCATCCGGATTCCTTCGGACTCCAGCGAGATAGCAGCACAGGCAAGGCTCATGGGTCAATGGAGTTCCGGGTGACGAGGGTGAGCCTGTTGCACTCGCCGTCGACAGCGAGTTTGTCTCTGATGCGAGGCTGGCCTACGACGAGTTCCTGGCCTTGCATTGCCGTCGCGGCTGCTCGGGGTGCGCACGGTTACTGTGCGCAAGGGCGTAAGGCGTAAGGGGAATACCGTGTGACTGAAGGACATTGGGTGTGAGGGCGTCTGCTCACAAGTGTAAAAATCGCAGCGTCCAGAGTCTGGTGCTCTGCAGAGTTGGGAAGATGCAGGTGGAAGTGCTCCACACACCACAGACCAAAGGCTGGCTCGGAGTTCGCAAAGGAGCGTAGGCAGACAAGGACAAGGATTCATGGGATGTGCCTGATCCTCCCACGGCTTGAGCAAATATGCAACCACTGCTGCGCTTGCAAAGACATCCGATTCCAACCTGCGGAGGTTTCAGCGCTGCATCGCAGCGAGCGGTTGCAGCTCTAGTAGACTCTGGTTCCGCGAACTCCGCGGCGAGACTGCACAGACAACAGGTCAGGGGTATGGTGCAGGGTCTATGTTCTTCGGGGTTCATGTAATGAGCTAGCTGTCCGCATGCGAACGAAGCATCCAGATCCACGGAGCCCGCAAAGCCCCTGTGGCTTGCACCATCCAAGCCTGAGCCCAGGTTCTCAACTGGCCAGCAGCAGAGCTTTTGTTGGGTCTCCGTCCTGGAGACAAAGTGGTGCGTTCCCTGTCCTGAATACTGTCCTTCTGATATTGCCGGAATCTTGACTTGGTGGCGGGTTATTTGGAAAGAGCCGCCCTACTGCCACGCTCATGAAGTTGATTGGTTCGTAGTTGCCTTGCGAACTTGCTGTCGGCTCTGGCGCATCAGGTGATGCTCCACGCATTCGGGCAATCGGAGTGCCTGGGCAAGAAACACGGCTTTGAGCTTGCCTTGTGTTGTGTTTGCGCACCCACACTCGAAGTCTGGCCTGCCGTCGGCAGGGGGGAATCGTTGAGGCGACGACCACAGTATGTTTGAATGCTGCTGCTGTTGCTGCATCTCTGTATGTTTGCAGCTAGGTGCTCGCCCCTTCGAATCGGATCGGTACACCGGTACTCCCACCAACTTCAGCCTTTCTGCAGCCTTTAACTTGCGACACAACAGCTAGCGACACGCTGCGGTTCACTTCCCTCCCTCTCTGTGTATTCTGGAAATTCCGCCACAGAAATTCCCATCTGCGGGCATGAGCTAAAACCGTCGGAAGGCTCTCTCCTGTGCTGTTCGTTTGCACCCTGGGCAGTCAAGAAGTGCTGGTTCACATGCACATGATCGCAGGTTCCTATCCAGATATGGACCTGCCAACACTTCGGCTCGTTCTTTGGGGTGGAAGCTTCCAGTTCAACAGGGCCTTCTTGAAGTGGAGTTTGGAGTTCGAGGATTGGACATCCCAGAGCGGGATTGCATCACAACTCATGGGCTTTACAGCTTGTTCCGAAAAAGGCCATTCCTGGCCGCATACTTCTGTCTTCCGGTCCCATTGCAACTGCATGTCCTGGCTAGTTGCAAGGTCGGGGGTGGAGCAATTGATATGCCTCTCCTACGCTTCTCTTTGGGTCTGGTAACTGCAGAAGGCCGGCAAAGACAACTTGCATGCTGTGTCCTGTTCCAGTGAGATTGAATCGCGAAAGCAGTTGTTTGTGGGCAATGTCATTTCTGGTTGTTGGTGGTCTGCAGCTTGTGGTGCTGTTGGCAGAGGCGATTCTGTGGCTCCTCAAGCAGTTCGCGTCGCATTGGGCGATGCGGAGGCAAGTTTGATGACAGAAAGCTGAGAACATCAGCTTCCCAACTTCACAAACATGGATACAGTCATAAGCGCGAGAATATTGACACCCAGTCCGCAGTATTGGCGTTGGTTATGAATTGAAACGAAGGATGCTCGTGCTGCTGGGATGCTGGAAGTTACTGAGACGTTTTTGCCCAACTACCTGCGCAGGTCTTTGCTGACATTTTTGGCCGAGAAGAATCAGGCAGATGATGCATTTGGTGCGGTCGGTTACAGTTCACAAGCAGGATGCTTTGGTGCGCAGGTTCGGTAACTTTCACTGCATATCACTGCTTGCATTGGCATCTCTCGAGTCCGTCAGGCTCTTGGCCGTTGGGTCTCGGCCCGAAGCCTCTGAAGCCGGCTGCTCTGATTGGCCAGGTGCGGCGAAGTTGACTCGACATTGCAGTGGCTGCAGTCATCTGCAGTCGCTCCAGTCGCCAGTGCAACCCAGGACATCCTCTCCCAGCAGCGGCACCTCCTTGTGGCATCAGAGCCTGCGCTTTACGTGGCAGAGCGGCCTGCGAGTGAAGGTCGGCCGGGTGGCACCGAAATTGAGTCGGAAAGCTTTGCCTGGGAAGGTTTGAGCTTGCAAGCAAACGTGACACGCCACCAGTCGGTTTCAGTTTCCCTCTGGTGAGGAGAGCTCCATCATGTGGGAGAAGGCCTGGGAAGCACCCATATGGGAAGCGTTCGTGACAACGTAGCCTGCAGGCGACTGCGTTGACGATGAAGGTCGACGCCTTGCGGGCCTTCAAAAGCTAGGACCGGATGGGCCCGCAGCTGATGCAGATGTTTACGCGCACAAGTTCAAAAATTAAACCTTTCGGAATGGTGATGTGACCCAGAACACTTCGTTCGAAGTCTGGTTCCGCGACACCATCAGGCTTCACAGGGCTTCAACAAGGGTAGATTGGAGACCAAGTCTCGAGTCCTCGGAGTCTGACATGAAGTAAACGTGGTGCGTGTGAGTCAAGAGTCAAGCGTTGGCAGCCGATACTTGTTGCTCTGTTTGTTGAAGCAAGATCTGAGCCTCCAGCCTGAAGGAGCGGCAGGAGCAGATAGTCAGAGTCGGAGGCAGCCCAACCGATGAAACACTGAGCCCTCAATCTATCAAGCCCAACGTCAATCGAAGCAAGTACTCACGTCAAGTGGAGACACCACGGCGGTGGCAAGCCTGTGACGAAGGATGCACAATGGATGATGCTCAAAGCTCAGCTGCATAGCATGGCCAAGTTGTTGCTGCTCTGCGTAGTCACAGGGATTATTTCACAACTTTTGATCTTGCCAGGCTGCATGGGAGTGCCTTTCACTGCCACCAGGCCGGTGCAAAGTTTGATGCTGCGAGCAGCGAGCATTTCCGAAAAGCGTTGACTTGCACTTGCGCATTCACGCAGGTGCTTGTGCGGGCATTGCGGTGACACCCAAAGGGCGTTTTCAGGCATGCCCTCTGGCACAACATAAGACCAGCCTGACCAAGCAGTTCTTCTGAGGAAGTGTGATCATTGTGATCTGAACTCCCTTTTGTGACTCAAGTCGTCGCCGTAGATCGAGATGATAGCTTGATCGCACAATATTCTAGACGTCTGGTAGATCTGGTATAGCTGTGGCTAAGATGCAGAGCCGAAGCATCCTTCGATGACAGGGTCTGTGCTACATCTTTGTTGGTGCAGAGCTCGGCAGGGACGAGGCTCGGAGGATGCCAAGATTGATGTGACAGCCATTTTTTTAGGATGTTTGGGTTTGGGGCAAGAGCGGCGCACACACCACTACTTGCAAACCAAGGGCCAAGTGGAGTCTAATCTCATGCGGATTTGGTGCATTTTGGTGCACAGCCGGCGTTCTGGGCTAGCGAGTATCGTGCTGAATCGCTGCTAGAATGGCTGTGCCTGTTAGATCCAACAACGGCTTATGTTCCTTTCCAACATGCCCGCCATATCGTTCGCAAATCCCACGATTGCCGCTGAAATGCATCGCTTTTATCATCTCGACCTCTCGCCCTCGATCTCGAACGGCTTACGTTACCGTGCGCTTGCCTGGCCAAAGGACTCAGGAAGGCAAGCACAACATGAGTCCAACATTGGCAAGCCAATTCGGTACTGGGGGTGTTGGTAATGGGTGGGGGTGCCAGCTGGAGCCGCGGCTGGTGGCCTGGCTGCATGGTTGCAATGCCGCAGCTGCTTCGGGGTTCGCCGCCGCCTTCTGCATCGTTTTCGGGTCTCTGGAACTTGAGATTTGCCGTTCACCCTCCGCTCCACCCGTTCGTTTCGGGTTTAGTGTCTGCAAGGGGGTGGGGTTTGTCACTCGGCTTCCGATATCGCAAATCATGGGTCAGGAGGCTTGTAAGAACAACACGCAGTCGAATCGATTTCACAGCGATACACGCCCTCACTCAGCTTCCGTTTCACTCTCTCACCCTCCAGGACAGAAGCAGCGGTCAGCGAAATGTCAGTTGTCCGTTGCAGTCGCAGCCTCTTCATGTCGCAACAGAAGTTAGATGTTCTCGTTGGGGACACGGCTTGGGCATTCGGTTCATACAACGGTTCATCCGTCCAGGGAAAGACTCGTAAGTTAGGGCCTCTGGCCTAATTATCCGTCCCGTGCAGGAGCTACGCTCCCGTGGCTTTGCGCGCTATGAAGCACCGGCTGGGCAGACACTTGCACCACCAGGACCGCTTGGGATGCGTGCCGGAATTTGCAGCTATCTGTCAGACATGGAGCTTGGGAATGTGTCTCTCATCACTCGATCTGCAGGTTCAACGGTTGCAACTGCAGATGGGACTCCAGATGCGCAGTGCTTCCGCTGGCAGCCGAAGTGAAGGTGAAGCGTTTGATGATTCTGTGATGATGGTCACCTTCCAGGTGTGCACTCGAGTGCGAGCAGGCAGAGATGTTCAGTCCGGTCCGTCATCTGTACATAGTGGTTTCACACAGGAAGCTCCTCGAAGATGTGCACTAGTAGGGCAAGCTGGGTTCCGTCACGTCGATGGATCGACCGGCAGCCTGCAGGGACGGTGCTTTGGCATTCAATGGCGCAGCATCACTAATCATTGGTTGGATAAAGATCGTGCGGTGGTGCATGCCCGTCGTACTGCTGTGAGCCCGTGCCATTTAAGCCAGCTTGTGTGTTGAAGGCCGGTCGGGAACACGACCGAAACGTCATGCGCGATGCGCGTGAGAACGTCGAGGTGCAGCTGTTGCACGTCCCGAGTTTTCGACAGCATGTGCCTTTCACCTTTCTTCTTTCGTGCCGTAGGCCGCCACCAATCGGCTCTCGGAGGGATACGCCCGGGCCTTCAGCTGTCAAGCTCGGTTCCTCGATGCTCTGCAGAGTTCGCATAGCGACGTGTTTGCATTCTTCTGTGTCGAGTTCCCAACTGTGCCACGTGACTGCTTCCTGACTTCCAGCATTTCCTTTAGTGCATTCTCAACTCAAGCGGCTGTGTCTTCAGGGACCGTTTGAGCGTTAATGCTTAAAGGGTTTCAGACTCTCCAGCTAGTTCGAGGAAGTTCGACTGGCCCAGCTCGATGCGGATCGTGCTGCGCTGGCCGAGCAGGTGTGCGACGGGCCTTCCCACAAGTTGACAGAGAAGCAATCGACTGGCTAGAACAGTTTTCTGAAAGCAGGTCTGTCAGCTGGAGATGGAGATTCAGAACCTCCACGGCAACCATCTGCAGGATGAAGCGCCTGCGGGGAGTGCTTGAACTGGAGGTTTCTTGAGGGCTGGGCTCCAATTATTACATGTCTCACCTTCATGCAACAGTTGGTTGGTGTTGTGGTGTTGTTGATCGCTCGTTCAAAGCTCAATCCATGAAGCAAACTCAACGTTTCCAATCGTTCAGGACATCCAGGCTCACCGAAGCTGGCATTCGTCTGCTTTGGATACTCTCTTCGAGACGCGAGGCCAGGTGGTCTCAGACTATCGGAACATCATGACCTCCGTTCTTCTCAGGCAGTGAAGTGGCTTGCCTTGCCATGCGCGCCTGGAGGGAGCTTCTGCGCGGCAAGGCACTTCTACGTCGACGCCCTTTCAAGCCCTCCCTTTGCGCGTCAGAGAGCAGTGAACACTGTGCAAAGCCGGAGGATGCATTCGGCCGCCGCCGTCGCCTCGCTGGACGAGTCACTTCTCGGCATGTGCAGGAGAGAGACTTTGAACATCGACTCCAAGTCCGACAATGTAAGAACCCCCAACCACCCCAAGTCCTTCCTTCCACAAAACTGCAAACTGCAGGAGATGATGCTTCAAGCCAAGCGCAGCCGGGTTGCATTCAGTCACGACCTCCCAAGACAGTCTCGGGCAGTTGGCCAGGGGCGCTCTGGGCGGCTTGGAGCAGCGCCGCGGTCCGTCGCGCGCAGCACCGCCGGAGTGCCGGCGCTGTGACCAAGGCTTCCGGAAACTGCGCAGCGAGGGAAGGACAGAGGGTTTTTGCAGACAGGCGCAGGAACAAATTGCAGAATAAATAAACCCCGTGAGTCAAGCTGTTGGTCCAAACCCTTCTTCCCCAACAGCTTCTGCTAAGATCTGACATGTGCACATATGCCAAGGCAGCGTTGTAGGAACGGAGAAATACAAAGTAGTGCAAGGATGGCCAAGGTTGGATGAGTTTGAACATGAGGCAACAGCACGACGAAACAGGAACCTGTCGGAACATCCTCGCATCATGGCTTTTTGGTGCTTCCCGCCCTGGAGAGGCTTTGGCGCGGCTCTCGGACGGTGAGCCGAGGAGGCAGGACACTCCGAATGCTGGGAGCTTGCCTGTCTGCTGGCTCGTTTGCCTTCGCCAGGCGCGGGGCGTTTGTTGCTTGGCGAATGGCAGTGCATCCGCTGCGTGGATCTGCACAGAAGGTGCCGCCTTCGCCCGGCGTGAAAGCTGTGCACTAACAAAGCAGACGAGATTCTGAGATGCGAATCCAGGCCTTGGTGCGCGCGCGCCTGGCGGCCGTGCAGCATCGCCAGCGGACTGCGCACCGGGAGTTTCAGAGGAGCGTGATGGCCGTGCAGCATCGTTTCTGAGGGGTGAATGGGGGCGCCCCCCCTTGCTTCCGTCAAGGAGCTGCTGGGACATGTGGGCTGCAAATGCACGTGAGGACCGAATCGTCCGCATTGTCTTTGCTAAGAGTCGAGGATCAGAGATGCCTTTGCTGTGCTCCGCCGTGAGGAAGCAAGGACACGACAACTGGAGGCGGCTTCCACAGCTCTGCGCGACCAGGTCCGTCTATGCAAGGGAACTGCAGGCAAACGTCGCTACGTCGCCGGTCCCCTTGCGGCCAGGTGGCAATGCACAAAGAAGCGGCCCAGGCGCAGTGCATGTAGAGCCGATAGAGGGATCTGAGAAGCCAATCGGAAACAGCAGGAGCTTCGCGTATTCATGCAGAAGTGCCACACGTGAAGGCTGCGCATGCTTCCGCTGAAGAGCGACTTCAGCAAGTCGAGTTGCAGTTCCAGGTGCACCGCTCTGGAGTTCGTGATTTGCAGATCTGCATTTCGGGCCAAAGCACGCGCCAAGGAATCGGAGATGATTGCCGCAGAGGTTGGTTGACTCCTTCCAGAGTTGACGTTCCTACGAATGACAAAAAGCAGGCTAGCAGCCAGCAGCTCCTCGATCAGAAGCTCGTGAGTGCCAAGCTCGAGTTCCGCTGACCAAGTTTTGCGTCCAGAGGCTAGACCCAGGGCTCGAACCAGAATGGTGCCAGGTCACGCTTGTCCACAGCATCTGAGCGGGAGGACTTAAGCAGCTTAACTTGCACACATGAGGCGAGTTTAGCCGATGAAGGTGTGACCTCGGCATCGCACCTTCGGTAAAACTGAAGCTTCGGAGCCTTAAGGGAAGGGATGCAACACAGGAGGAGCTCCGACACGAGATGTCGCGCCTGGCTGCTGGGCCCCGAGCTTGCGTGCCGAAATCCACGGAACCATGCCGTTTAATCTTGCAGTTGCACGATTGTTTTCTTACATCGGTGCTAAGCACCTTTGTTTTGACCAGAATCTGTGTTTCTACGATGTCGAAGAGAGTTCATGTTGTGCCGACACATCGTCCTCTGCAGGGCCCCGATTATTTCCATGTGGGCCTCCTATTGGTGCTTCACCGCGTGGTTATAGTTTGCCCGAGCTGCTCATCGTCGTGAGATCAAGTTAAGCTTAGTTATCAAGTCTCCATCTCAGCTGCAGTGCAACAACTTCCGCTGCATTATCCGCATATTCTACTGTCTCATGCAGAGTCTTCGAGCGAGCTGCGAACCTCCGAGTGCTCTTTTGCTGCCAGGATCTGCTCACAGCCGCAGAGGCCGAGGTCCTGGAAAAAGCAAGCGATGTGGAGACTGCTGAGGCTGGATCGAGTGGGCACATGTGGATTCAAGGAGGAGGTTTTAGTGGATCTATGGTTCAAGATCAAAGGCATTTCGCTGGTCTCGCCAGTGTCTCTGGGATCTCGAAAGCTCTGCACTGGACCGACGGCTTTCCAAGGATTCGCTCACTTGCTTGCCTGATCAGCAACTCTCTGCATGCCATGAGCAGCTGAAACGACTGAACCTCCAGAGCATAAATTGCTGATGTCGAAGCGGAAACGCCCGTTGATAGGCAGAAAGCTTGTCTTTTCACCCTTTTGCCACGACTTCCGCTATGTGCTTGTTGTCGGACACAGGCGCGCCTAGCTGCAAAGACGGCAGAGGCACCGCTTTCGTAGCTGTGCCGCTCTGCCTCTCCTGACTCCTATGGACAGGAGACAGAGAGAGAGAGAGAGAGAGAGAGAGAGAGAGAGAGTCCCGCAGCGACCCCTAAGCCCGGCAGAAAGAAAGAAAGAGTCCCGCAGCAAGCAAGCAAAAGAGAGAGAGAGAGAGAGAGAGAGTCCCGCAGCAAAAGAGAGAGAGAGAGAGAGAGAGAGAGAGAGGGAGAGTCCCGCAGCAAGCAAGAAAAGGAGAGAGAGCGAGAACACGGAGGCGAGCGAAGAAGTCGGGGCGTCAACGCTATGGCCCACAACCGGGGCAGCACAGACTCAGTTAGACCCTGGTGACGACGAACCCGCCGCCATGGCCACCCTTGAGGAGGACGCCGGGGCACAGCTGGACCCAGGAGACGAAGAAAGAGCCGCGCTGGAGGACCTCGAGGCACAGCTGGAGTTTGAAAGACAACGTGGAGCTCAAGAAGCGCAGCATAATGCCTCAGAGGAAGAAGCCGGGGCGGCGATCCCGACAGACGCGGACTCGGAGGAGGCGCAGAGGGCCGACGACGAGGGCGAGGCGGCGGAGGACGACTACATCGACCCCGTGACCAGACGGCGAGTGACCTCGAGCCCTACTGATAGACCCACGCCACAGTCGTCCCCTGATCGCAGTGACTGAAAGGGTGACCGTCCAGGGGCGAATGCCCCTTAAAGCTCCGAGTCCTGTGATCTGCATCGCATCGTACTCCCATACTCTTGTGTGATTGTCTACTACAGCGGAGCATCTAGTGAGTCAAGTTAGGACCGGCCCCATGTCGTGTGATCTGCAACATACTTTACAACCTTCGTTTCTCAGTCGGGGCGACACCTAGGCTCGACACGTTAGGTCCCGAGGCAGTACAGTAACTGAAGCAGTAACGAGCCAGAGCAAAGCACGAACCACTGCAACCGGAGCGTCGAGACCGTAGTCGAGGAGCCTAGTCTGTAGAGGTACCCTACAGCCCCAGTCCTGTGATCTGTACCGTACTGCTAACTGTTTGTTGCCAGCAAGCGGGGCGCCGTAGGTACCATCCGAGGCCATAGGGCTACGCGGAGTGGAGCCGAGGAGTGATATAGGGAAGGACACGGCAAGCGACATCTATGGTAGTTCACTAACCTTGTTGTGATCATACCAGGCCCGCTCGTAGACAGCCTCCTCAACATGCCAGCCCAACATGGGCGAGTGGAAAACCCACACCGTACAGATGGCAGTGGGCGACACACATTGGACATCATATGGTACGGTTATTTCGGAGCACTTCGTACGGATAGTTCGGGGCACAATACAAGATGTCGCCGAGGAGTGCTTGTCGTTCCAGCATGTAACACACATGCACACAACCAACAAACGGGCGGCTCCCGCGGGGGCTCGCCCTCAGGCCCGGAGAAAGAAAGAAAGAGAGAGTGCCGAAGCAAGCAAGCAAAAGAGAGAGAGAGAGAGAGAGTCCCGCAGCAAGCAAGCAAAAGAGATAGAGAGAGAGAAAGAGAGTCCCGCAGCAAGCAAGCAAGAAAGAGAGAGAGAGAGAGTCCCGCAGCAAGCAAGCCAAAGAGAGAGAGAGAGAGAGTCCCGCAGCAAGCAAGCCAAAGAGAGAGAGAGAGAGAGAGAGAGCGGGGGGCTGCCATTGCTGCTTTGCCATCTGCAGCTACCCCGCAGTTACAGTAATCACATGGCCGCGTACTTACTTGCGTTTTGCTTGGTGTGAGGGGAACAGCTGCCGCATGTAGGAACTCGCAGGGGGATGTGTCCGTTGAGGGTCTAAGGATACAGTTATAGAGGGCGCGGGGACGAGGCCGGGACGCACGGTCAGGGTTTACCAACGGACACACTCCACCGCCTGCACCTACTTGGGACTGCAAACCCGACCTTCGACCCCAAAGCCCCATTCCTTGCTTACGGCGCGGGCCTGTTTCTCTGTGGCGGGGCGCCTTACAAGCAAAACTGTTTCACAACTATTTATACCGTTCGAAACTGTTTTCGCTAAGGGTGGGGTGAGGACGGGAGTGGTGGGGTAGGATGGCATTACTGCCGGCGTGGGTCTCTTTCTCGGTGATGCGCTCAGGAGGGTGAGCGCGCTCGCGCTCTCGCTCTGTTTTTGTGCAAGGACCTGAAATTCTGTGTATGCCCACACACTGTGCGACACGCAGACACACCTAGACCGTCCGGTTTCACAACCGGTTCATGCAGGGATAGCACAAGGGACACCCAGTCCCCAAACCTCGTCAGAAAGGAGTGGCATCACACAGGACTCGGGAGAATGGTTGCAAACGCTGTTCGCAACCACTTCCCGCCTATTTTCCGGCTCCAAAACAAGCCAAAACCGTTGTTTCATGGCTTCTAGAGCCGGAAAATAGGCGGGAAGTTGTTGCAAACAGCGTTTGCAACCACGCTCCCGAGTCCTGTCTGATGAGATTTTGGGCGTGGCTCGTGGGTGTCCTTCTTGCTGGCTCTTGCCCTACAAGCACGACCCGTTTTTTCCATAAGCCACGCTGCCCACTCCTTTCTGATGAGGTTTGGGGACTGGGTGTCCCTTGTGCTATCCCTGGAAACTGCGTGTCGCACTGTGTGTGTGTGTGCATACACAGTTTTTCGGGTCCTTGCACAAAAACAGAGCGCTGAGCGCGCGGTCGCGCGCCTGAGCACGCGCGTGACGCCGGCGGTGGAAAACAAGTATGGCATCACAGGCATCCACTGTCTGTAAATCGTCCCAGGCACAAATTGCGGAATAGTTGAAATAGTTTCAAAACAGTTTCAGTCACGAATAGTGTTTCAACAAAGAGGGGTGGTTAAACAGGCCCGCGCCGAGAGTAAGCTATTCCACCAAAAAAGGGGAATGGGGGGAGCTGGGCCCGGGTCCGCGCGCTGACTCGACCCCAATGGAAGGAAGGAAGGAAGGGGGGCCTGCCCCCGCCTAAAATCCCGAGCAAAGCAAAGGAAGAAGACTGAAACAACCTTGTTACAATCCTACTTTCTGCCATTGCCTAGACCCCCCAACTACCCTCTAATATGCCCCAAATAATAAGGGCCCTAAGGGCTACATTAAAGGCCCATTGGAGGGTCCTGGTGCAGTCGATAAATCATCATACTCTCACTCCCCTCTAACAGCCCGTAAAAGGCAAACCGCCCGTAAAAGGCGGGCCTGAGCGCCGCGTATGCCTTTTTTTTTTGCCAGTTGTCCGCGCAGAGGGCAGTTAAGTTTCGACTTGTGAGAGGCGCATGCCTTCGAGCAAGCTGAGCTCCGGCAACAGACCCAGGCACCTCGCTGGCCAGTCTTCCGCGGTTTCCTGGGTCCTGGTGTCACGCGGAGCGTGCATTGAATTCGTGGAATCGTGCTCATATCAAGCGTCCATATTGGAGTCGGATGGTGCAGTAGACCCAGTCATTTTCTCAGAACGTACGGTAACCCTGGAGTACAAGGAGGCTGCGATTGCTGGGCGCCTTGCCCGGCTGGTGCAGCAGGCGGCAGACCAAGAGGAGGATCCACGAGACGTAGAAGATGAGGGCCAATGCACTCATGGAGCATATCTTTGCCTCAGCTGTTGGTATAATGTGGGCATATGTGCTCATGATCAAGCTTTCAAAAGCGACAAAAGGATGCCAGCGAAGATGCCAAAACATGTCTAGAACAGTAACATCAGACGAGCTCAGGTGTCCGGCCAGCATAGTTTCAGATACTTGGAGAGGTGGAGAGAAGGGTTCAGTTGAACTTTAGTAGGTGGAAGTGTTTCGCCGCTTACAGAATGAATCCATACAGTCCATAGAGAGATCGTGTATTTACTGAGCTCTCTACAAGGCTCATCCAACTTGCCAAGTGGGCTATTGAAGTATTGTTGAATGCAGTGGACGTCGGTGTTGTTGGTTAGTGCCACACGTCTCTACGTGGCGTCCGGGTACAGGAGATTGCCGTGCTGCAGACGTCACTGCATGCAGAGCGGGCCGCGCTGGCTGTACTGCGCCGCCTCTCTCCTGGAACACACGCTGACAGTGAATGAGTTCAGTGAAGCTAATGAGACCTGCAAAAGGTAGTGACCTTCAGCTCACGGATGCCGTGACTGAAGCCAAAAGCCTTCCAGTGCGGCATGTCCGCACAGATGTGGACGAGGTGCAACTTGCTTTACTGTTTGCGGTACTGCCGAGAGGTGTGCAGAATCAGTGCAGAAGGCATTCATTCAATCAGGGCCATGCGGGCGCCCACGGGCTCGGGAGGCTAAGAACAGATGGCGGCTCGAGCATAGCTTCTCCGTGTCGGCGATTCACAAATCCGGCCAGCGGTCTCAGAGAGCGCGGCACTTTCAGGATGCTACGACCAGGACTTTGTTCTGTCTTGTTCCAAGACCCCCAGGTCTAGATTCGAGCACCTCTTGTGCACCCAGGCACACTGCCGGAAACACTTCCACTGGCTTCGAGAACAAAGAGGCTCGCGAGCCGGAGCCAGTGACGCACGAAGGATGGCCTTGGGCGAATCTTCTTCAGCGGAAACCAGAGAACGAGTCAACTTTCATGTCGAGAGCCCCACAGAACAAAAAGAAGCTTTCCTCCAAAAGCTTGGCATTCCAATGCCATCCGGCGCGCTGGCGGCTAATGACTTAAAGGCTAGCTGAGACGAGCGTGCTGCATGAGGACAGCAGTTGGATGAGACCCTCATGTCCATGACAATCGTGCGCTCACGATCGTGGCACTAGCTCAGATTTAAGTTCTTGTCTATGGCAAGCATCAACAGCACCTGGACCATTTGCCCAAGAAGCTGGCTCTACAAATCGGCTGCATTGCTCCATCCAGTGGTCCAGGGCGGCTGCATAGTTTCATCCTGCCGCAGGGACTTGTTGCTTGTTACGGTCCTTTGCAGGCAATCGTTGCAGAGAGATCTTTGAGGAAAAAGCGTCATGACTCATGGCTGAAACCTTAGCGACCCCTGTAATCGGAAAAAGCGCTCCTTCATCCCGGTACGGAATTAGCCCAAGGCAAGTTCTGGAGCTCGGTGCTCAAGGTCTTACGGGCTTAGGGCTTAAGACTTGGGGGTGGCTTAGGGTTCAGGGGTCAGGGTTGTTAGCCAGTTAGCCTTGGCTTCAATCGCGGCGATGGACGGCTTGCCGTTGAAGGTGTCGTTGGCTCTAGGGGATGCAGCCGAGCTGCAGATGTCCGTTCCTTGTGGAGCCCAGTGCTGGACTGCTTTCTTTTTGGCAAGTGGGATGTGTGATTCCAGGAAGCGGCTGTAACATCACGTCTCCGAGCGACGGCGCGGATTTGGGTATCGCATTCGTAGCGGTTGTTTATCTACAATCGCATGATGTTGCAGTTGCTGTTGCAAACATGTCACAAACAAAGTTTCTGCCAGCGTTGTTGAAGTCGCGTGGCCTAGCTACCTCGCTTTCGTAGCCCTTCTCTCAAGTCTTAGCTATCTCTCCATCTATCTTTCTGTCTATGTGTCTTTCTATCTTCCTATCTATCTATCTTTCTATCTATCTGTGCTTATAAACGAATCAACGAAAACAGACCTTCACGCACGGAGAAAGTTCAAGAAGAGAATTGTTCGAAGTTGTGTGCCCGAGCTGCCCTTGTTTTCTTTGTGGCGCTGAGGAGAGAGAAACGGCATCCAAGCAGCAGCCAAGAAAGGTGACAGCGAATGCGTGTGGGCGAGTTTTCTTGTGGAGGCTGAATGGGGGTATTAGACCAAGCCGCAGAGTTCGTCAGTGAGGCCGTGCCCAAGCCATATCTGCCAGCTGTGTAGTCACAGCGAACCAGAGAGGATGAGGTATGCTGACAATGGCACTTGCCGTGGCCTGTAAGCCGACTATCACTTCTCGGGAGCCACAGCAGAAGTTTTTTTTGTGTGATCAGGCCTCGTCGACGGCGGCTGCCGCACTCGGTCCTAACGAAAGTCTTATATAGAGGAAAAAAAGCAAAACAATGAAGCTGTACAAACAAAAGAGCGGTGAAACCAGAAAACTAAGTCGGCATAGGTCGTTCAGCTCTACTACGCCAGTGCCCTGCTCAGTCCTTGCAACAAGTTGCGCAATGGCCGCATGTGCTAAGCTAAGTCTCACCCACAAGGCCCCTCCGAAAAGTTGGAGAAGCGCAATGGCCGCAACATGGCCCCGCAACCGAGTTGCGCAATGGCCCCTAGGCATGAATGTGCCACCTAAGAGCACGGTACGAGAGTAGGGCCTGTTGGCATTGGAGGGTGCATCGCCTGGGGCAGCCGTCGCACAAGCAAGAAATAAGCCACCAAGCAAAGTACCTGGGGCAGCCAGAGCAACCTGCGCTTCAATGCCAGCCAAGCCCCCCTGCAACGCATACCCGGTGTCGAACCAAGCCGGAATCTCGACAGGTAGAGAGCAGCAAAGTGTACTGACAGACAGACAACAGGCCAGGAGCCGTGTTGCTACGCATGCCAGGCAGCAGTGCACCTCTCAAACTCTGCGTGTCAGACTGTTTAACTGGCTTGCTTTCCTACTGTCCAAATGAACTGACAGCAAACATGCACGGCTGAACTGCTATACTCTGTTTGAAAGTCTATTTGTCTTGTGGCGCTTGGCAGATGTGCAAAAACTTCTGCTCACATGCGTGCCAGCATAGCCGCTGGCTCCTCGAGGCGGCACGCAGTTGGCTGGAAGAGCAGTAGATTAGAGATTTTCTGCAAAGGGTTCAATGTACAAACACATCACGATGATTGCTCGGAAGGCACTGACACACTTCCACCGCAATTAAAAGGAATCAGCTGCAAGAACTATATCATCGTCATCCGAATTGTTTGCTGGCACATGGGGTGACGGAGCTCTCAGAGCCGCCAACATGGTCTTGGCTTTGAAGAGAAGCAATCGATCAGACAATCGTGCTTGTCCCCATGCAAAATGCCGACATATCTATACACATTGCTTCCAAACCAAAAGATTGATATGGTTGTCTTGAAGCAAGCATTCTGCTACAACATGAGTTCATGCCCAATTCACAGTGTTGAGCCACCCAGCAACAAAAAAGATAACAAAAAGAGACCGAAAAATACCCTGACCCTCTCCTGTTTCTATCTATGTAAACCGAACATGGTTTCAAACTCAAAACGTTCAATGCAGTCAATCTTCAAACTTTTCCAACTTACAAACCTTCAAACTCCCAAACTCCCAAACATTGAACATCTCAAACATTCGAACCCCGCGTCTCTCACACTTTCAAACTTTCGAAGTTTGAAAATTTCAACGCTTCAACCCCCCAAAATTTGAAACTTTCGAAGATTCAAACTTCGAAGCTTTCAAATTTTCGAGCTTTCAATCTTCCTGGGTTTCAAACTTTCAATCTCCCAGCTCTGAAACTTTCGAACTCGAGCCTGAGGGCTGCTCTGTGAACCCCTACGAGTCTCCAGCGGTGCTTCGCCTTGTTCCTTCGCCCAACACGCGTTTCCGCGGCTTCAAACTTCCAAGCTGGATTCCTCTTCAAACTTTCAAACTCCAAACTCGTGCCCACTTTCAAGCTCGAAACTCTCAAACTCTCAAACTTCAAACTTTTCGGATCCAAACTTTTCGAACTCCAAGCTTCCGAATCTCGTTCAACATGTAATACGTAATACGTTCAAACTCTCAAAGATTCGAGTTCAAAAACCCCACCCGTGATAACTTGAGCCTGAGGATGAAACATCTGAGAAGAAACGCTGTTGGCACATGGAGAAGGTTGTGACGAAACCTTGGAGGGTGGGGACTGTACCTCCCGCAGCACACGTGGTAAAGCAAGGGCTCGTTGCCTGCAAGACCGGCTCTTGTTCAGTCTCAGCGATCTCGGTTGAATCTTAGCCGCGGCGTTTCAGCACTACTCTGTGTTGGGGAAGCATGGCGACGGCACTAGTCACTAGTACGAGTGCGCGCCCTGCTCAGCCGCTGAAAGAGCCCAGTTTTCAATGTGACAGCATGTTCATGTTTGAGATTAGTTAGTTTGGGCATTTTGATTGACCAAGGAGACATCAAGTTCCTTTGCACATCCGTCCTCGGCATGTACGAGGCCCAAACTGTCATGTGGATCTCATTTCCGTGATTTGGAGAGCATGAATTAACATGCCCCGTGTCATGCAGGACGTCTTCGGAACGGCGTTTGAAGGCCTTTCGTTGCAGGCGGGTCAGAGCAAAGCGGAATGTTTGAATCGGTCAGTGGTCGGGAAGACTGCTGCAGGGTTTGGACCACCTCCAGGAGGCGGAGGTTGAAGAGGTCCATGCCAGTGAGACACCCAGGTGATTTTTCTCACTGTTTGCTTTGCCACAAGCCCTTGCAGGAAGGGCATGATCCCTTTCACAAACCCAGGCAAGTTACAGGGCCTCATTGATATCATCATGGACATCCACCGTATGACCTGCAAGGGCCACAGTCCGCACGTTTGTCCTCTCACTCATAGAAAGCACGCTGAGTTCTACCACCCATGCGGATTGCGGGCCCCAGATTTCTTCCCGTTTCTTGCCGGCTGCTTCATCTCATCACGAAGGATCCTGAAGAAGAAAAGAAGCTCAGAGCCCTGGCCAGGCTTGTCCCAAAACTGCCAGTGGGGTGAAAACCCATGTTTTGGCGATCCGTTCTCGCGGGTCCCACCTTTGTTGGCAGGCTGCCGCGATGGCTGATGTTGCAACCGTTTCGTTGCTCACTTCGACTTGTGCAGGGCTTTTTGTATGCAAGTGCTGTCAGTGAGTCAGCTTGATCGTGTCATGCTGTGCTTGTATTACGGCCTGTTGGGTTGCAGGCGCAGGGGAAGGCGAACCAGGAGGGCGAATGTGAGATGAGCCTCCACGGCAGCCGCGCCCGTCTCATGGATCGCTAATTGTTCGGAGAACATGTGGCACAGCCTGCTTCACTGCTTCAACAGGAGCTGATTTCAGGCACGCAAAACATAGAAAAAGAGCGAGCTGTGTTCCTGTCGCACATCGGTGCATATTGGGGGCTCGGTGGACATTGGCAACTTTTGCCATCTCAGCAATGAACCTCTGTTTGACCGTCTGTCTCGTTTTCGGTCGTGATGTGATGTTGCTGAGGTGGAAACTTTTTGTGATTTTTCTAAGGCATCAACACGCCCACTGCAGTGTTGATGTCCACTGCAGCGCCTCAGACTCAACCCGCAGTTTTGGCTTGCACGGTCCGTGGAACATGGCTTACTCGCTGCAGTATCTGACAGCCAACGCCTCAGGTGTCACGTCTCACCGTTGCATTACCGTTGCTTCGTCCACTCTTGATCGATCGCTTGCAGGAGATTGGTGTCGTCGGACACACTGTGTGCAAAGTCTGTGGCCACAGGCCCGCATGATTACCCTTGTAATGGGTTTCTTAGATTGCAGAGGTTTAGGGTTTAAGGATTCAGGGCTGAGGGTTTGGGTCGTGAGCGGTCGGATCTACGGTTTTCGGCGTTATGAGGCTTAGTGAGATGGTCTTGAGGCCGGGGGCGGGAGCATGGGCTGGGGTTCAGATTTAGCT